TGCTGATGCTGACGATGGTGATGATGATGATGCTGCTGATGATGATGATGATGATGATGGTGGTGGTGGTGATGATGATGATGATGCTGATGCTGATGCTGATGCTGATGTTGACGATGATGCTGATGCTGACGATCAGATCGGAACCCATAGGGGGCGAGCAGATGTCCCGTCCAGCGGATGCCCCTAGGATCGGGCTACACCCGAGCGTCAGTTTGCGATGCGTGGCCATGCGCCTCGCAGCTCACAGTACGGACTGGCCTTTCTGCTGCCGCGGTGCACTCTGAAGCAAGCGCAGAGCAGCTGACACGTCGGAGCTGCTCCACAGCGCGGGAAACCCTTGCATCGCCATGCTGCCACGCCTTATCACTACTGGCATAGTGGGCTCATCGGGACCAGGTTTCTTAGCCAGGCCCGTCCAAGCAGATGTCTTCGCGCGCTTACCGCTCCTCAGATCCATGCTCGAGGGGCGGCGGCCACTGGGCACTCCACCCAACACCTGGTGCCTGGTTCCAGACGTGAGCAGCGGATCTCGGGCATTCGGAGGGGGAGAGGTCGAGGTCAAGTGAGAACAAAAAGAAGGAGGACGAAGGCTCGGGGGAGGGAGGATCGAGGGGGAAGACATAGGCTTGCTGGCGGCTTGGCTCAAGCTTCTCACGAGCTGCACAACACGTCTCTTCTTCAGGTGTTTCTGGGCTCCTCATTTCCGATTCTACACGGGGCGGTGTCTGTCAGAGATTTCAATCATTCGTGCATCGTATTCTCGAATTCGTGCCACTCTGTGTGCAGCAGCCGCTCTGGATGCCCCATGGGGGCGGTGCCCTGCATGAGGTCAGCCCCCGCCCATCCCAGCGCCGCGAGCACCGTGGAGTGGTTGGGACACGACGTGGAGCTCAGCACCATCTTGACGAGCAGGACGGCTTCCCACATCTCCACCAGGCTGGGACCGTTCTGCTGTTTGCTCAGCTTCTCCATCTGCTGCTGATTGGACTTGCCCACCGCACTTCCCTCGTCGATCAGGCCCTCGAACTCCCCCTCGTAGCACGTAACCGATATCGTGCCCATCTCCTTGATCTTCTTCTCGGCGTCGGCCTTTGGCGAGGACGTCGACGCCTCCCCTGTTGCCTTGACCCACGCTCTGAATCGAGCCCTCGCCTTCACCGCCACCTGCATCCCCGTGAACCTCAGGACCGTCTTCAGCTCGATGATCTCGATCTGCCTCTTCCTCATTGCCAGGTTGAGACTGAGGCGCAGCTTGACCAGGAGGAACCGCTGCATCTGCTTGACCTCGAACGTCTCGTCGTCGAGCTCGCTGCTGTCCATCATCTTCAAGTCCTTCCTCCTGCCCTTCTCCTGGTTGCCTACGCTGTCGTTTGCCCCCGATGCCGAAGAGCTTCGCGGGCCATTGCCGTCCCCCTTGCGGCGGGATTTCAGGACGGACACGGTGTCCTCGACTGCCGCGTGCAGGGCCAGCAGCCACGACGTTCGGAGTAGGTTGAGGCAAGTGTGTCGTCGAAATGTGCCGTTGTAGGTCTGTCAGGGATCCAAGCTCGAGTGCACACTCTGCTTCTCGACAGACAAACTGCTGCGGCGAGACCACTGGATAATTCAACGTAGACTCATGTGGAATACAACGTCCATGGCGATACGCAGCAGTGATGTGATTTATCGCAGTTCGACGACGCGCAACTATTGAAGCGCCTGATGGGCATTGATTTGTTACCGTATATTTGGTGACCATGTTCAGCTGCCCGTGTTCTCCCCCTCCACTATGTGTCTGTTGTGTCCAATGTGCGTGCACCGTCCGACACATCTTGCCGCATTCAGGCCATCACCGTTGAGAAGTGAACACAGATACCCACCCTCGAAGCACTCCTGGTCCTCGTATTGCCTGATGGGGGTCACCGTCGGGGCCTCTAACCAGATCTTCCGCAGATGTTTCATGTTGAACTTCAGAAGCTGGGCGCTCAGCTCGGGAACCTGGAAGACCCTCAGGAAGTCGCAACCAACGTTGTCCAGAAACTCGGGCCCGTCATCGAGCCGCCCCTGATAGAACAGATCGTTCTTGAATTGCGGGGCCCAGGGGTTTGTTTTGTCCGTAGGGGTCACCATTGGGGTACACGTAGGGGCCCACGCGAATTGTTGAGGCACAGCATTCTCGAAAGAGACCTTCCCAAAGACAGCAGCCAACTCTTGTACGTGTAGGTGGGGTCGGCGGACAAGTGCTTGATAGTGTCGGAGCCTACGCACGACTGTCTCCACGCTGGGGGGCACCACCTTGATCTGGGCCCCCTCCCGACGCAACGTCACGCTACACGGCATTCGCACTGACGACGGCGTCTTCATCGACAACCCCCCGGACGTCTTCACCGCCGTCGCCGGCCATTGGGGCCCCGTGTTCGCGGAGAAGATCATCGACGTCGAGGCCGCTCAGGCCTTCATCGGCCGTTGGTCACGGCCATTCCCGGCCGCCGATTGGCAGCTCCCAACTTCGTCGCCA